GATGCTGTGCCATTAGGACGGAAGTGGGGTTTCAAAGGGTCTCCCGGCTGCTTGTGCTGTAATGAGGTTACCTGTTGTTGTAGGTTGTCCGCTCTCATGTACTTAATGCTGACGACCCAAGGGAATCTAATTGTTACTGTCAGAAGACATACTGCTCAAGGGGATGCCCTGGCCACCAGGCCCACGTGGCATGCATGCTTTTCCTGTCCTTCTGCCTCTAACGTATCTGCAAAGACCATTTGTCTCGTTTCCTCTGAATCTTTTTGTTGTTGCTGCGGCTGCATGGTTCTAGCAGCATAATAAGGATCGGAGCATTACAACTGACGTGATTCCAGATGCCTGCTGGTACTTCTAGCTACTGTTTTTTCTGCCTAGCTGAAAGCAAAACTGGACTACCTGGGGTGAAATCTCAGCTCCGTTGAGGACTCTCCTGTGGACTCTGAGGCCAGGATTTTGTCCTTGTTTGGCTGTTGAAAATGGTTTCTGAAGGATCTCCACAATAATGGTCTTGCTGGAATCAGTTTTGTAGGAACCAATGTCCCTATAGATAGGGAAAACAGTAAAGCTTCAGGCTGTCCTCTGTCCCCTCAGATAGATTTTCAGGAAACCCTCTTTGGTAAGAGCAGTAGTCTAATACTTGTGGCTTTGATGCTGCCAGCAGTCATTACAGAGAAGTCCCCAAAGGGGCAAGCTGTGAAAACACGCTTAATTTTGTTATCGTTTGGGCTGGATGCCCAAATTAAATAATTCTGAAGGTAAAATGAAATCTGTATGTTTTGAAAAGCTTAGTGCCTGTGTTTTCCTAGAGCTCTGTGTGTTCCCAAGCCCAAAGCATCAAGTCGTCAAAACTCCTGCTCGGTTTCTGTCTAACCTGGGAGCGCACGAGCTCCTTAGGGGACTTAACATGCCACTCACTGGAGACAATACTTAAGGAACAGCCACGGAGCAGGAGAAGAACAAGATCCCTGATCCTCTTTAGGCAAATGACTGCTGTGCCTATGGGACCTGGCTCATGCGTGTACCCCTCTCCCTTCTCCCATGCTATGATTATTTCATCTTTCCAGGAAAAATGGAGCTGAAGAGTCCTTTTTTCACGAACAGAATAGCGTCTACACCAGTGGCCATGGGACCTCCCTTGCATGTGGTGTCAATGAACTAGGATCCCCCACAAGTGAGGAGGGGAAATTTAGCCCTTATCTCCCATCTTCTCAGTGGTTGTACTGAGAGATAGACTGGAGAGTTGCCATACCAGTAAGGATTGCTCACTCTCTATGAGAGAGGGCTTAAGAATCTAACTGTGGAGTAGGATTACTGCTGCGAATCTTGAATTGAATGAGGATCTAGGAGCAGTCCCCTTGCATCAGCATTTCCTACTTAGGTGTCTTTTTGGCAGGTCCCCAACTCAATGGGCCTGAGGCTTGGATCCCAATTCTCAGGTGATGAACTTCTCACACCAAGGACAGGGATCCCATGATGTTAACTTAACTGTGGGGAAAGTCCTGTGGAGCTTGTCTTAACTTGTTTTGTGTTGAGCGGCACTGCTTTTCTGGCATCTTTGCCTGTTTGCGCTTGCTGCTGCAGATGGTCAGTTGACTCAGGTAACTTTGCCCTTTAATTACTACTGTTGGAGCTAATGTGTTTTCAGGTTGACACTGACAAGCTTTAAGCGTGTGCAGTTAGACTTCCAGATTTGAGACACTAGTGTGGCATTTGTAGAGTTTAGAGCTTTTTTCCAAGCTGCCCTGGAATAAAGGCAGGCAGTGCATCTACCAGGCTTCTTTACCAAAGGAGGGCTGTTTCGCATCTTCTCTGAATACCTGATTGGATCGTATTTGCTAGCTGAGCTCTTTCAAGGAATTTTAACGTGCACCATTCTTTAAGTACCTGTAGAAAAATTGGTTGGTTTGTTATAATTAGAAGGGTTTAGCTGTGTTTTTCTAGTTTTCTTTGTTTCTGGTCAGGCAGTAAGGTGTCCTTGCCTGCAAGTCTGAGAACCCTTTCCGAGGGGGATGCAAAACTGTGCGTTCTCCCTGCCCTCCATCCCTCTTGGCTCAGCCACTGGTGGCAGTAGCACTGAACATGTTGCCCAGCAGGTTTTCATTGGAGCTTAATGCACTCTATTTCCTTTCCTTCTGTTTGCTTGGGAAAATACCTTGCACTCCTGCTTTGTTTATTGCGGTTTGACGTTCCTGCCTCAGCCCAAGTGTCTCTCTCCTGCGGCACTTAGGGCTTGACTCCTTTCAGGGATGATGCTAAACTGATGTGCAGAGGAGAGGGGAAGTTCAGTGTGTTTTCTCTGTATTAGAGTAAAGATAAATAGTGCTAGTAAGTCCCATATTTCCCTTCATCCTCCAGTAAGGAAGTGTCTTTGTTACTGCTCATCTATGCACGTGGAAGGTGTGTTTTATATTTAAGATAGGTGATGCCTACAAGTTATGGAGCTGTTGCCTTAATAGCTGTCATATATGCTTCATGAGGTACTGTTTTGGCATCTATAGAAGTAATATGGCCTAAATCCTAAGCAGGTGTCAGTAACGCTCTTGAATTTGGCTGAGCGCTCCATCCAGCAAACGAAGCGTGTGATTGGGAGGCAGCAGACTTTGTCTTTATTTTTGTTTTTGCCA